AGACACACACCCCACTCTCTCACAGACTCGCCCCCCCCGCACCCTCCCGCTCCCCCGCCGCCTGGCCCAGAAGATGACGCCCGCACCGCAGCCCGCGCGGCCACTGCCGCCCTCTTCGGGCGGGAGCCGCTCACGAGATCCACTCATCCCGGAGCGGAACAGCTTCTCCACCGGCGGTTTTTTAACACAAAACGAGGCATTGCCTTCTAAATACAAGCCAGTTTATCATTTTAGCAGCTGCAGATTCCCTCCTACCAACCACAAGAGTTACTTCCAGGAGTGTTTCACCTCAGAGCCTCCCTCCGACAGGGAAGCTGAGGGAGGGTGGGAGGAGGTCGTATCTCAAAGTCCGAGTGTGACTGATGTAAATTTTGGGTCGGGGGATGCAGACCCAGGTGTCTCAGCCCACGCCAGTGCCACCCAGAGCTCCCCGAGTCCTTACCTTGTAGATGCAGGACTTGGCATTCAAGAAAAACAACTCGATGGTGGCGTTGTCCTTTAGATAGGAGATGCTTTCAATGTAGAACCTGAAAGGGACAGCAAGAGAGGTGAGACACAAGGGGGAACTAGGGCAAAACATGAAAATGCACTCATTAAATGAAAAATGTGGTCAATGGAGTCATGATGAGTACACTAAAAATGAAGTTTTTTTGCACTGGGGTGATGAAAGAGGCTTGTGCCTGCTCCAGGACGTGATCAGTCACCCCCACCGCAGCCATACCAAAGGAGCTGGATCATAAAGTGGATGATTTTGTTTCTAAATAATCCTTTGTTTTGTTTTTAAACTTCAGATAATCCTTTATTCTGTTTGCTTGTAAACTCCCCTTCCTTCTCCATCACATCTTGGGATCTCTTCTTTACTTCTTTACCTAACCTGCCCATTTCTGTGCTGTTCACCTGCGTCTTGTACAATGTTCACTGACAGAAATCCCCTCCTGGGTTCCTTCCCTGTCCACTTCAGCTCTGCATAAGGCAAATTTATTTATAAAGGCTTCTTTACATATTTTAGCAGCTAGCACGTAGCAGCTATGGCCGCAGAGTAAGCAACCAGCCATAGTTAAGGACCTTCTACAATTTACCAGTACTGTGAGGAGCGATGCTGGGGATGACTGGGAATGCCAATAATCTAATTTTTTTTTTTTTGAGCTGAGATGACTTTGCAGAACTCAGTAGAAAGCTGACCAGCCCAAACCCTCAGTGTCAGAAAACCCCACTCTCTTGCACTGGCTAATTATCCCAAATATTTGCAATTATGTTGAAAGCCCAAAATATGTATGCATCAACTCAGTACTCCATGTCCTGCCTACTTTGAAGGTTTGATCCTTTGGCAGTGAAGTCCATGAGAGTTTTTCCACTGGCTTGAATCGACTCCAGCCCTTAAGTCTGCCTTGTGACCTTTTGGGGAAAAAAGCGCAGGATACTGTCAAAGTTAATGACTGGTGGTTACGTGTAAGCATGTTGTGTGTTCCTGTAGTAACAGAGAAAGCCTGGATAGGTTCAGTGAATGATTAAGGTGAATTTTGCATTTATTTTGTGTTTTAAGTATAGAAAAAAAAATACATCCATCTGCCCACTCTATTTTATAGCGATCTTTAAGTTGCAGTACAGTGTCAGCAATGTTCCTTACATAAATTCCAGTACCATCGTGCCTTGTCAGAGGCAATTAGAATAGGGAAGGTGCCAGGGAAATGCTGTCTGCATCAGGAACTTAAAAAAAATGAGATACCTTAGAAATCTGGGTTGAGATGCAGGGTCCAGTTACAGAGAAACCTTACTCCCTGACCCCGCTGTCGGGGAGTGGGGCTGCCAGACCTGCTGGCACTGCTGGGGCTCCACACAAGCACTGGAGGGGTTGTCCATCTGGAGCTATTTGCAGAATCGAGGGCCTTAAATGTAACCTTCTTAGGGGTAAAGGTCAAAGCTTTGTAGTGCTCCTAAGTGTCTTCTGAAGACCCTTCAAAACAGTTTATTTCCTGACAGATACGACGGACTGCTTGCTTACTAGAGTGAGAGAAACATTTTCAGCTCTTCTTGTTCATCTGCTGAAGTGCTCCTGCTATTACCCCTCCTTCTCCCCCTCCAGAAGACTTCAAATGAGAAATGAAAATAAAAGCCAAATCAAAAAAAAACATTTGAATGTAGGGATCATGAAGCACAAAAATTAAACTTTTTCTTATTTTTTTTTCTGGTTTCCACTGGGTTTCACCCCCTGCCCTTGCAACTGCCTCTTTTTTTTTTTTTTTTTTCTCGGCAAATAAGAATACACTTGGCTTTAGAAATGCAAAAAAGATGCTGCATTAAAAAAGGAACCTTCCTACTAGATCTGCTCTCTGAGTGCAGCTGGCTTTCCATCTGCTGAATTCATGGAGAAAAATTGTAATTTTACACATTCTGTGATTCTTGAAGAACCTCCTCTGCTTATCACCACTACCAGTGCTCTCCGAGTTGTGACGGTAGGATCTTTAATTCCAGGGTCAGAAGAAAACAGAAACATTTATTCTATTTCTGAATCCGGTGAAGGTTAGCCAAAATGTTTTTTGTTTCATCAGATCAACCGAGACCATCCTCATCATCACTAGAGGGCAATATTGCATTTCTTAAGGATGCAAGGATCTTTCCCAAGGCTTTCCACACAGACACATACACCGAACATTTTCTGTACGAAATTGGGTCTCTCAGAGCCCAGAGCCTGCACATGATATTTCATCTTCACAAAGAAAACCCAATTCTCAAGTGATCTCCAGAGTGGAGAGTGTGCTGGGGAGCTACTGGCTCTCACACACGCACCCAGACAAATGCAAAGCATGTGCACCAGGAAATCAGTGCTACTTAAAAGAAAACAGATTTGCAGAGAGAACTCTTATGGGATTTTCTGTGTGGCAAGCTCAGAAAACCCGAACTGGAGCAGACTCCCCTGAATTCACAGTTGGTGTTGCAACAACAGAAAGGGGGGGGGAAAGACACGGTTTTTGCACTGATCGTGAATTTCTGTCAGACCTCCTCCTGTTACCACTTTTTCCAAATACGGTGAAGGAAACGGCACTTTACAATGACCAATGTCAGTGACTAAGGAGGCAGGAAGAAGTATCCAGCTGCTAAGGCAATGAACCAAGCAAAAAATCTGGGTTAAATTCCTGACTCGGACACAGGTTTCCTTCATGACCTTCAGAAAATCGTTTAGCTGCTTGGGGCTGTTGTGCTGTGTTTAGAAAATACTCCTCCCTCCTCTGCCCCCCTCTGTCTGTTTTGCCTGTTAAGCTTATAAGCCCTTTCTTACAGTGTGTTTTCATCAGTTTTAAGGGGCAACTCTCAGATTTCTGTTGAGGGCTCCCCGGAGAGCAGCATTCCTCCGTGTGCTGTGAAGCTGATATATCCAGGAAATAATGAAGGGGCCAGGCAGAGAAACAGGCAGTACGATGTGTCCGACACCTCTGCTCCGCTACCTACACCTCTTGCAATACAGCCAACGCACAGCTTTGCCTCAAGCAGCTCCTGCAGGAGATTCCTTGATAGCCAGCAACTGTTGCTGTGAGAAATTAGGTGCCAGCAAGAAGGGAGAACACCCCACAAGACTTTGTGAGTGTAAAAACCAGAGAAATCATTTTTGAAAAAGTTTAAAAGATCAGCCAATGTTAATCTGTTTCTGCGTTCCCCATCCCTCCCCAACCCCAGTAACTTATAATTCATCAAGTACACGTTCTAAGCATTAATTAAATAGACGAGTGGATATTACGCTGGGTAATGAAAACACAGTGCCTATCTTGCCTGCTCCCTCTCAGCGGCAGGACGATAATGAGTGCTGCAGAAGGTATCTTGGAAGACTGCAGAAGCTGCCGCATCTGAAACGTTTAAGGCTTTTTAGCTGCAAGGACATGCCTCGTACTGATCAGATTGCTCTATATTAAGCGTTGGTTAGCTGACAACTTGCTCGGAGACAGCTTAAGCCCCCTCACGCCGTGATGAATGGCAATTCCCATCGTAACCAGCCAAGCACAGGCATTTATATAGCAGTGCCTGTGAGAAGCAGCTGTGGAAACTCCTGATCCTTGGGTGATGGGAAACTGGCACTACTATAATTTCTCCCTTGCATTACACACATGCCCACCTCCGACTTGCAGCAAGGAGAAATGCCTGACTGAGCATTGGACTCACTGGTTTGGTTACTGGTCCTTCAGGAGATGGAGAATCCCTGGCCGCTGCTGCCGGCCTCATGTGCGAACCTAGTTGTGCGTGTGCAGATGGGCAAATTTAGCAGTGTTGGGAAGGTGCTTGATAACTAGTGCCTTGTCCTTGCAGTGGGGGTAGGAAGCCTCGGGACCATCAGGGAAACGGCCTCCCAAAGCCCCTGAGCTGGTGGTGTGCTTGTGTGGCCAGCGAGAGCCGAAATGAGCAGCACTCCCAATTTCCACACACCAAAAGAAAGTGTCAAATAAAATATATTTAGCATTGCCTCTAACACACAGCCCCGGACGTATCCCATCAGCCTGAACTTGGCCATCTATCACCTAGCGATGACCGAGCTCTGAGCAATCGAGTCCCTGACTGTGCAAATGTACTGTCATAGCATTTGAGATCACACGCTCCTGTGTTTATTTCCAAGGAGAACCTGCCGAACAGTAAACGTATTTCACTGTAGTCTTCAATACAATGATATTTCAAAGCTTGACCACAGCAAATGGATGTCTTGTCTGCCTCAGGTGTAGGTCTGTCCTGGGGCAGTGATATCATCCTAGTTCTTGTGATGTTTGACTCTGGTGGGAGCCAGCTGGTCCAAAAGGCTTTTATCCAACAACAAAACCATTTTTTCAACAAAAAGTAACACTCCAAAACTCCCATTCTGATGCCATGCTGTTTTCTTCCAAGAAAATTCAAAGAAAATATTGAAAGGACTTTGGAAGACCTCAAAAAGGTTTCAACATTTGGTTTCACTGAGGAATGGCATCTTCTTGAGGAGTGGCCCTACCAGAAAAAACTGTCATCGAAACTGGAGCCCTGACTAGGACAAAAGGTCCCTCTGCCATCTGGAGAGCCCAGACCAGGCAAGGGCATAGCAAAGCACTCTCTTGTTACTGTCCTATATGGGACATGACAATGCATGTGGATTTTTGGGTGAGTTCCTGCCTTTTCCAAAGGGCAGGAGCTGGCGACTTAGTATTGGCAAGGGGGGTACCTTCCCTCCAGCCTTGTGATACTGTTTCTGTGCAAGGAGGCCAAACACCCCTCTTGGGCCTATTAAGAAAAGGAAAGGGGAAAAATAACATAGTAACAATCCATGTGGTTCTTCTCTCCCCTGGTGAAAACATGATTTTTCCCATGAAAAAGGAAAATAAAGGGTAAAACCAGATTTCATGGAAGAAGTCAAAATGAAGCAAAAGGATTTTGGTTTTGATGTGCAGTCGCCTTCCCAGGTGTTTCCTTCTGCCCTGGATGGGAAATACACTCAGACCCGAGAGAAAGGATTGAAATGGGCAGAGGAGTCTCCCGTGTCCTTCCCAGCTGGCTGACTCCGTTCTGGTTGGGACGCAGG